ATCCACATCATTATTATTATTTCAGAATGTAATCATCCTGAAATTTATATTCTACTGTTGACCAGTATTTTAATTTCAGGCTATTTTTTGTCACAATTAGGCATGCTATCACTATTTTAAATTGTTCATACATTTTAAGAATTACCTTTATTTTTTAACTTGCCTTAAGGAGCTATCAAGTCTAAACTTGTTTTGCCCATGATGATGATCTTGGGTTTATCCTTTCCCACTGTTATTTCATAACAAACAGAACCAAGAGCCCATGTGATAACAAATATATGAAAATATGTTGAAGAAAACAAAACCTCAGCTTCCTCAGAGGGTTCCCATATAGCCGAGTGTACACTTTGGAGGGAGTTGGAAAATAAGCTCACGCCATTACAAGACATAAGTTGGTGAACTGCACACTCATCTGTGAGATCTCGTTTCTTACGATGGAGTTGGGTATAATCTTGTGGGATCTGGGAGGCAATAACCGAACTGCTGTGAAGACTTCTTATTGATGCATTGGATGTTATCATGCTGACATGCTGTGTTCCCTGCTGTATCTTTTTAAATAAACCTGGCGGCAATTAAAACCGGTTATATCCTGTAAATGGGACATCAGTCTGAACCCAGACCACTGCCTGTCACACAAAATGAGCACTGCAGCCTGCATATTTCTCCAGGAGTTTTGTTCATTCCTTCTTCTTGAAATTCACATCAGTAAGCTAGTGTTTTCTTGGGCTTCATTCGCTGTTAGGACCTTTGAGGAAAAGATGGTGCAAAGTGTTACCTCAAGATATAATGGCTGAATAATGAAAGAGAAGGGGAAGAGGCTACCTCTTTCATCCTAATGCAGCGAGAGTTGAAAGGAATAACCAAGTTCAGGGAATAAGAGTTCATGAATCTTCCGGTTGTTCTTTCTCCATTGTTGTTGACTCCTGGGATGGGAAAGGTAGTATAAATAAATCAGTGGGGAAGGGGCCATGGCTTATGGGCGGTGGTGGGAAGAGGAACTTGCCAGACTAAGTTGTCCATTGGTAATGTGTAGAAGCTCAGGAAGGTGAAAATGGTGGCATGGTGTGGTTAGACATGAGTGACGTGCCAGGATTCCTGGCAGCTTCTGACAAACTAGTTAGTGAGGAGGACCCCTGGGGAAGATAGGATTAATTATAGAGTTTTTTTTTAAAGCTCTCTCTATATATATATTAACACAGTGAGTTGCAAAATGTGAGTAAATTTGTAATATCTTCACATCATCTCTCAATTCTGTTATTGTCTGATTCCATGAGCAATTAGTTTTAAAATGAAAATGGCAATTTGTAAAGAAACACTATGTATAGAAACAGTTGTTTAAAAGCCAGACATTCATAATCTTCAATGTTTACTTTGATGATTTAGTGGGTAATGAAATGTAAAAGCAGTACATTTATGTACAGCTCAAAGTACCAATATTAGAATTGCCTTATAATGGAAGAAATATATATTTATCTTTGATCATAAAGTGAAGAAAACACTTTTAAGACCCACTATATTCTAAACAAGTGAAGATAAAATTCTCATTACTTTTGTGTTAATATGCTTGTGGTTGAATAAAAGCTTGGATAAATCCTTTCTACATTAAATAACTACCTTTTTGTTAGTAAAAATTCTGGTTTTGAAAATACTTACACTTTATGTCACATTGTATTTAAATATTGGTAGAATAATGAAATCATGTTAATTCAGACTTTACTAAGTCAGATATTATGACTGTCTCTGGCTCAGCATAGCCTAAACATGAAGTTACCTAGCAAGAAACCCTTTTACAGATATTTTAGTAATAAAAGTAAAGCTTTAGGTGAAAGTCTTAATCTGTGTTGGGAAAAAATGCTTTCAAGGATTCTGATATACTGATATGAATAACAACAACTAATGAGAAACTGGACATTTAAAAAACATCTCCTACCAAACCTCCACTTGGAGAGAAATAGTAACTGAGGGTTCTAAATACTTATAAAAGTTCAGTTCATATTTAATATAATCAACAATTTAGTTGTACTGATTTTGTTTGTACATCCTTTTAGTCTGAATTACTCTTGAGCATGGTTTTGTACTAAATACCTTGGAAAAATTTGAACTTTTTGTGGGTTTTTTTGTCATTAACATTAAATGACTACAATCTCACAAATGACTTATTCCTATTTGGTACACGAGCCATTTGGGAAATGTAAGTGACTTGAAGTAAATTAGTAAATGTGCTTCCATGAAAACACAGCCCTCTGCTCCCATAAAGGACCTGGAGTAACTAAGTGGCTCTGACTTACCGTCTCTTGGTGCATCAGATTTTGTAATCAGAGGGCCGTGTTCAGGGCAGTGAAACCTAGAGCTATGACACATCCTTGTGCTCAGGCATTGAGCTAGGCCTGGGGTCTACAAAGATGAGAACAACTGTCTTGAAGCACTAAGGGTTGAGTTTGAACCCATCCTGAGCAACTTGGTAACTAAGGGAGACCATGTCTCAAAAATTAAAAAAGAGTTGGCAATGTAGCTCAGTATGAAGACCCAAATTCAATCCCCATTTAAAAAAAAATGAAGAGTTAAGAAGGAGGTGGAGGACAAAGATGAGAGATAGGTGTATAAATAGCCTCAACTTAGTGGTGGACTAAGAGAATAATCTACGCAAGAGTCCTTACAATCACAGAAGAAACGCTTATGTGCATTTAATACAAAAGTTAAATTGTAAAGGTTTTCATAGTTTAGAATTTTTCTTAAAATATAGGACAGAAACAAATAACTATGTCTTAAGATTTTACATAAAATTACACCTATTTAGGATTTAATATTACTCTCTAGAGTAAAACTTCCACATATTATTTTTCCTGTGTGGTTTATTATATTGGTTTGCATAAAGATTCTTTACTTTTTCTAATTTCAAAATGAGTATGTGCTCAATCTTAAAAAAAACAAACAAAAACCACCTTCAGTTCCACTACCAGATATAGCCACACTCGATATTTTGATGCATAAAATGCCTCTTTTCTAGTATTGGAGGGAAAATCCCTCTATCTATAGTTAGTTCTGGTAAAGGTCTTGCTTTTTATTATTTATTGATTTTCAACAGCTCTTACTGTATTGCCTTTATCCTATCAGATATAGTAAAAATTAAATTCCAAGCTTGTCATTTGTGTTTATTTTCATATTGTCTTGTATGGTTTTATTGTAAATCTGTATTTTAATAATTTTAATTTCATGTAAGACATAAAATGTTTTTCATTTGTGGAATTCTATCTCTGGTGCTATACTTAACCACTTTATGATTTCTATATTTCTTCTACTATTATTTTTAGGTTTAAAGTTTAAATCACATCAAATTTAACTTCCCTTGAGTATAATTTTGGTTCATCTTTTATCCCTCACTTAACCAGTAACACTGTTGTTCAGGTAATCTTTGGTCTTCTCATTGATCTTAGATGCCACCTTTACAATATCATTCTATAAGATTGATCTTTTTTGAGAATTTCCAATTCTTTTTCTTTAATCTTTTGAATAATAGTGATATCACTAAATAATATTAATTTTTAAATCACCTAATACAAATCTATTTAAAATATTCCAGAGTTAACATTTTAAGTTCATCAAACTTATTTTAGCCTAAATCATCCTAGTTTTGTCTTATTTAAAACTTACCAGTTTGGCACAATTATGTGTATGTTTGTATTTGTGTGTATGTGTAACTTCTCTCTTCTGTGCAGGTTGTTTTCATGTTGGTTGTGTTGCCAGATATCCACGGGCAGTCATTTAAAAATATTTTTCATCAGTTGCCTTATATGTATAATAGGAATAACACTAGTTCTTACATTATTGTGAGGGAGTTGAGATATTACTGAAATAGCACACACTGACACATGTTCTCAATGTATATTAATTATGCCAGTTATTATTGTGTGTATAATAAATATCCCAGCACCTCTCTTTATCCCCGACCCCATTCTTCACTCCTTCTTTGTCTTAGACTTTCTAAGTTTAATTCCTGACAGATCTGTGTGGCTAGGCATGGCTCTCAGCGAGGCAGTGTAAAATGATGTGGCATTTTGCCTAACTTCCAATTTTCCTATGTATACTACTCTATCAGGTTTAGCACCTTTCTTGGCATGACAAATTTTTATCAAGGAATATTATTTTATGATATCTATTGTAGAGGCCAGATTAAGAATAAAGATAACAATATGCCGTAGCCTTACCTGGGCTCTGTAAGGCAGCTGGATTATAAAATTTTTTAAAATTCTTGCTATACTGCCTTATATACTTGCTATACTTACTACTTTTGGTAAACTGTGAATGGGGCAAAATAAAGTTTTATGGGACAAGCAAGAAAACACATGGCTCAAGCTTTTAGGTAACCCTTAGTTAGAGATCTTTTGTCCCTCCTCTCCTCTAAGCAGAGTCATTCCTTTTTAAATATTCATTCATACCACTGTTCGCTAGTATTTGTTGAAAATCTGTTCCACTGTCAGTCCTGTACTGGACACTGCAGATACAAGTTAAGGAAAACAGACCTGGATGGTGCCCTCATAGAGCTTACAGTAAAATGAGTAAGATCAGTATTAACTGAATAATCATGTGGTCAGGACTCTGAAGGTAACACCTCGGAAAAAATGACAATAATGGCACAGAAAACGGTTCTAGTTGAGGGCAGAGAGGTAACATTTATGGTAGCCCGAAAAAAGTGAGCTGAGATTGAAGATTAAGTAGTACTTAACTGGTTGAAGAAGGCGCAAGCATCCCAGGTAAAGGAGAAAGCATAATAATGCATTTGAAGAACCAAAAGAAAGCCACGGTGGATGAAGCTAAGAGGGAGGGACAAGAGCAAGAAATAAGGGGGAAAGGTGCACGTGGCTGAATGGACTAGTTTCATTACCTTGAACATGTTTGTTTTGTTTTTCACCCTTAAAAGCACAATGCATTAGGAAAAGGGCAGGGAGAGATTGCATGGGAGCATTAGGACAGAGATATTTTTCAAATTTTAACGTTCACAGGAGTCACCTACGGGTTCTTATTAAATGGCACATTCTGATGAAGCACGTCTGGGGCTGGGCCTGAGAGTCCCCTGATCAGCTCCCAGGGGTGCTGAGGACTCTCGTCCGGAGTCTCACCCTGTGCGGTGGGAGCGGAGAGGAAACTATAGTCGTGGTGGTGGAGATGGAGGGAAGGCGACAGCGGTTGAGGACATTCAGAAGGCAAAAGCCAAAGGCTACAGTGAAGAATTAGGTAAGAAGCATGGTGAAGGGAGGAGATGCTGATAGGGGCTGTCACTGCTTCCCACGTGGAAGGAGCACCCGAGTGGGGGGAGAGACTCCATCCAGTTTTGGCACTTTTTTTTTTTTTTTTTCTGGTACCGGGGATTGAACTCTGGCCCTTGCGCTTGCAAGGCCACCGAACCTCTGAGCTAAAAACCCGGCTGTCAAGTTTTGGCACTTTGAAGCTGAAGCGTTTTTGCAGTATCCGGTGAAGTCGTTAGCTTTTGGATATGGATCTAGAGCTCACAGAAGAGACCGGGATTCTGTATGAACCTGAGTCCTCACACAGATCAAAAACCATACCCAGGTGAGTATTGACTGGGGTGAGCATGCAGAAAGAAAGGGAAGGAACATAAGGGACCTTGAAATGAACACTGCTTTTTAAAAATGCACATATACAGTGCCTATGCGGCATATTTACACAAGACGTCTAAATGTGCTCACAGTAACAGGTTAATATCACAGCTTCCTGTGTACCCATCGTACAGCTTGGTCAGAGCTTAACATTTGTCATAGTGGCTCAGGTATTTGAGAAGCATCACGGAACTAGCACTCGGTAGACCTCACCCTAGAGACAAACACTACTTTGAATTTGTTGTTTAATGTTTCTGTATATGTTTTTATTTGATATTTGTGTCTCCGTATAATCATCCACACAACTATAAAAATAGCATTATTTTATAGATGTAAAGCTTTATAAATTATGTTATAATTTTACTTTGGCACCGTGTTTTATTTGTCTTTGATGTTTATCCATATTTGAAACATGTAACTGAGGTTACTCTCTGCTATGTATTCCATGTGATTAGTATATAACAATTTGAATATTCTACGTGGAGGAACATGTACCATAGGTTATTCTCACTTTTAACGAAAACACTATACTGCTATTCTACCAGGAGGATGTGGCAATGTGAATTCCTAAAATGTTTCCTTATGCACATATGCTGATTTTGGGCATACCTATTATTTGGATGTGAAGTTTGGATGTGAGTGGGTTTTAGTCAACATATGGAAAATTATAAAATGCTACAGAATAGACCCCCTAGATTGCATCACATGCACTAAGAATCGGTATTATTTCATGAAATTTGGCTATATGTATGTATGTGTATATATATATATATACATACATATATATATTCCCACTCCCACATAGCAGTCTTACATCTTTCGAGAGATGTTAGCATATTGAAGTGCTGGTAGAAGGTAACCAGTACCGATGAGGAAGAGATAAAATGCACAGGAGGGAGGAAGAGAGAAACAAAGTTCTTCCAGTAAGATAAAAGGGAAAGAAATATAGATTTGGATAGCAGTACATTTGTAGGTGAGAGAGAAAAATGTTTAGGAGTTCGCTTTAGCTGTATTCTCTTTGTCCGTAAAGTGAGATAAAAGATAATATGCTGGGAATAAGGAGGCCAGGTGTAGGGTAAAATTCTTGAGGAAAGTGGAAATAGTTGTGTTGCTACTAGAGAATATGAAAGAGAAACTGATCAAGAAAAAGTAAAAAATTTACTGTGAGGTTTTGAAAGCTAGGGAATGAAGACTAAGAACTGTGACATTCACTGGAAGAAAAAAATAATTTTCTCCACCAGCACTAAGCAGCTGATTTGGTCTGAGATTTGAGTTTTTCTTAGCAAGTTGACCACAAAAAGTGTTTCAGTGGAGTTGTCAACATTGATGAGAGACTGGTGGAGGTAGGAACTGAAAGGAGGATGGAGGACCAGTCAGTAGGAGGAAAACGGACAAAGATCTGTTTGGAGGACCAGCAACCTGTGTATGGCCTGTGGGCCAAATCCAACTCTTTGTTTATTTGTGTACATAAAATTTAATTGGAGCATAAATTCCCATTCATTTAGTATTTGTTTCTTGTGGCAACAGCAGAGTTGCATAGCTGTGACAATAGTTTTGCAAATCTTAAATGTTTAATAATTGACCCTTCATAGACAAAGTTTACTGAACCCTATTCTGTTTCCTTCATTTTTCTCTGAGGAACAGACATGGCATCAGAGAAGTTGGGTCTCTGAATTCTTCTGTATTTTCCTCAGTAGGGACCTAAGAGTATCAGGTGGGTGGCTACCTGGATATTGAAATCAAAAAAGATGCTGATGGGTTTGGAGGTGACGAAAGATATAGTGAACCCAGCACCAAAGACTTGAAAACAAATAAGCAAATCATGTTTGCTAATGCTTTGGAAGCAAAGACAAGGAACGAGAAAGATAACTGAGGCTCTTAACAGCTGCACAGACAGAGTGACAGCCAGTGGTCTCGATGTAGAACTGAAGGACATGGAGGACAGCGAGCTACTCCCTTTCCGAGAAGGAAGAGCCCTGGCTACTGGAGAGGGATCCAGAGAGAAGTGCCCTCAGAGATGTAGGTTTCCTTTGGGGAGGAGAGCTAGAGGCAGCCTTTAGGTTTCGTCTCTATTCAGGAAGCAGTAGGGCTGTTGTTTTACTTCCTTTTGTTTTTGACACAATGAGAGTTCTGGAATGAAAAACAGAAAGATTTAAGAATAAAACAAATTTGGTGGATCTAGGCCAAGGAAGAAAGGGGACAGGGAAGTGTGGGAATGAGATTACAGGAAAGAAGAAATGACAGGAGGTACTGAAAAGGATCAAGGGTTAAGTAAGTGCAGGGACTGTCTGAGGGACAGTCCTGCAAATATTATTTATGTACAGTGACGGGGGTTGTTCCTTGTGGAAGTTTCAGCCAGATGAATAGGCAGAGCATGATATTAACTGAAGCTTAGAATTCTAACCAGGTGCTCAAACTGGGCAGAGATCCTGATGGATAAGAATCTCCTGGCCTCCTCAAGAGAGATACCTTGGGGCCATGGCATCTACTCATTAGCCAGCAGCTCCCCCAACACCTGTACCTCCATCTGCATTTCCTTCCATTCCTTCTTTATATGCTTCCTGGATCTCCTGCCGTGGTCCCTGACCAGGGCTGTCTTCTCCAGTCCAATCCCCAAGAGTTGTTTCCTTTCTATACCCATACTTTCTCACTATAAATTTAACTTAGATAACACAGATGACACAATAAAAAACACACAATCATCTCAAATCCTTCAACCCAGAGTTTGCTACTATTACTATTTTTCTGTGGTTTTACAAACCTGGTGCAGAGATATATACATTTTTTAATTTAGTAGAAACCACGTTGTATGTGCTCTCTTGAAATTCTTATTTTCTAACTGTATATCATGGGAACTTTTACTCATCTACATCATTTTAATGCAGACTAAGTATTCTGTTATGTTGTTTTGATATGATTTATTATCTAATTCCATAGCATTGGAAATGGTTTATATTTGCTTGCTCCTTTGAATAACACTAGAGAGAACATCCTTATAGGAATGGATTTGTAAAGAAAAAATCTGCTCATGTCATAACTTCTTGCTTTAAATTCGCCAGTGGCTCTAGGATTAAATCCAGTCATCTACAACAACAGAAGAGGTCATTTATCATCTGGCTTTGGCCTGCTTCCTCTCCAGCCCAATTTCTCCATACAGCTCTGTCCCTGCTACTCTGGTCAGAAGCCCCCAGGACCCCCTGTAACACCTTCATCCCTGTGCATTAAGTGTGTGTGTGTGTGTGTGTGTGTGTGTGTGTGTGTGTGTGTGTGTGTGTATCTTCCTAGCTGGACTATTGACTCCCTGAGGGGCCGTATGCCCTGTCTCCTGGGAAGAGTTGTATGTGACACTCAATACTTGTTTGTCTGCAAGAAAAACAATGTATACCTGCATTCTCATTCATCTTCGACCGAAGGTATTTTAATGCACACCTCATAGACGATGGTTTCTTATAATCTTGAATTTCTTCATTCATGTATCCATTCTATTGAGCAAAAACTGATTGAGCCTAGTATATGCCAGGCCTTTTTTCGGTATTCGCAAATAGAGAACAAAGCCTCCTAGACTTTACATTCTAATTAATGGGCAGATAATAAAGTACATACGTGATATGCATGCTATGTTAAAGACTATATACGGAGAAAGGTACACTGGGGAAAGGCTTTTGAAGTGTGTGTTACATTGGTGATGGGATTGCTATTTTAGATAGAGTGGTAAGCAGAGCCCGTCTCCCTCCTAAGGGAGGGAGCTAGTCAGACAGTTTCTGGGGAAACAGTATTCAAGGCTGAAAACTGAGCAAATGCAAAGGCCCGGAGGCAAGCACAGGCTGATAGATTTGAGAAGGAGTGCGGACACTGGTGCTCCTGCTTCACGGAGAGCTAGGAGCGAAGTCCGCATTTACATGCGTGAGAGCAGGCGTAGCAAGCACAATGGGCTGTGGCATTGTCAGACTTTTATTTTTGCCCTGACTGAAATGAGAAGCCATTTTCTAACAGAGTCTTTCTGGATACTGTGTTGGAAAAAGGGTGAACTAGTTAGTCAGCTACAACCATACTTCAGATAAGAAATTACTGGTTTGGACCAGGATGGCAACGGTGAAGTGGCTGTAGATGACTGAACTGTGGATGTTTGCTCAAAGTCAAATGCAGGCTGTGAGAGAATAGCAGAGTCACTCGTAATGCCAAGGTTCTCCATCCGTCAAAACACAGATGACAAAAAGCTCTTCTGTGTAATCAGAAATTAGTGTTTTCTGCCCCACTGGCTTAATTTTAGACTTGTAACTCATCCTAACTATATTTAATTGTAGTTGTCTCAGGAAGAATTTGTGGCATGTTTTTGTCTCCAAGGGGCCACCATACATTAAAGAAACTGTGTGTGTGTGTGTCTTACAGGAGTCATTCTCTTACTATGCCCATCATACACAATACCCAAATCCAGTTTTAACAGCTGCCATTAAGTATCTTGGACCATGCTGCTCTAATAATGAACATTCCTTGAATTACATAACAGCATTTCTTTTTCACCTGGACCCCTTTTCAGTAAGTGGGTCTTGTTGACTTTAGATAAATTAATGGATGAAGTAGCCTGCCTTTACTCACAACATTTTCAGTGATTGTATT